CCTTCACCTATCTTTTCAATATTTGTTAAATCATTATAAGGAATCCATTGAAGATAATATTTATTATCATGATATTTTGCTTTAAGTTGTGTACTTTTAATCAATTTGTCTAATGTTTCATTGCCACTAGTCCATCCTTCAGTTAATAGCTTTGGATCACATGATTGACACCATGAATAATAGGTATTATATATTGCATGTTGGACATTCTCCATAATTTTTATTTCTTTCCTTTGAATATTCATTGTTTTTATCAGTAGAAGTATTGTTATGATGCTTATTTTCATCCAAAATGTTTTCCATTGTGGTATATTTGTAAAAAAAAATTTTTTAAAGAACTTTTTTTTTCAGCCATAAATATGTATCACAAAAAATATATTAATATTAAATATATTTAGATTTATCTAAAAAAAAATTAAAATTTTACCTGAACTACAACAATTCAGCATTGACACCCTAAAGTCATAAAACTGTAATAAATATTGCAAGCATGTGATCAGAGTTATTGGAGTCACCAAATCTGAAAACTAAATTAAAATCACTATATACAACTATACTGCTTGATTAGAGTTTCTATTTGAACAAGGGTTTATTCAAATTATTTGTTTCTCATTATGAATGAGTATTTGAATTATGTTGGAAGTTTTTTCAAATAAAATAAATAATGAATAATTCAATAATTTGATAATTCAAATAAGACAAATAAATGAATAGTTCAAATAAAACAAAAACAAATAAAATAAATAATTCAATTGATAATTTAAATAAAACAAATAAACAAATAATAATAATTTGAATAATTCAAATAAAATGAATAATTCAAATATTTCGAACAAAACGAATAATTCGAGTAAAACAAATAATTAGAATATTTCAAACAAAACGAATAAACAAATAGTTTGAATAAAATGAATAAACAAATAGTTGAATAAATGAATGACAACAATTCGAACAATAAAACGAATAAATGAAATAAAATGAATAATTCAAGCAAAACAAATATTTGAATAAACAAATGATGTCAATTCAAATAATAAACAAATGATTAAATGTTGGCCAAATCATCAGAAAGAGTTATGAATCAATCAATCATGCCAGATTTATCAATTAAAAAAAGTGTTATAAGATCAATTATTTATTTTTATTGATTAATTTTTTCACTAAAGGAGATTTCAAACATATTTATACTTTTTACAGTATTACAAATAACATGATTTTGTCCAATAAAATAAAATAGACAATTACTAAAGTTAAAAGTCAAAAATGTGTCATTGATGATATCATGATTAAATGATACCTGATGAAATGTTGTGGCAAGAAATTATTTTGTCATAATTAAAAATAATTAACTTTTTGGTTTGAGAATATTATTAAACAGGAAAATCATAGAATTAAAAGGTTATGACAATCATGATTGTTATATTTGTAGCCCTACTCTAAGTCTAGAAACATCATCATCAAATCCATCATCCTTAAATACTGTTAGTTCTCAAACTCATACTGTAAAATATGGTTGGCTCGGTCTAAAGACCTCCTATTGCTGCGCCATGTGGCCAAATTTCAAAATAGCAATTTTGTAATTCGTTCAAAAATGTAAT